TTTTGACAAGCAGCTAAATTTGTGCATCGATGGTGCAATACTAAGACTGAGCATTCTGCAAGTTCTATGCCATTTCTGCCACATGGACAGTATGAAAAAAAGGGGCACAAAAGCCCACTAAAGATAAAGTGATGTTGTATGTAACTTGTTCAATGTTCTCTTAACATGTTTTGTAATAAAAGAAAAAAAGTTCTAATATCACATCAGTGTACGAGATCTGTTCTTTGGCTTTGTTTTCCTGCACTCAGGGTGGTCAGAGCATCTCACAGGGATGGGATATTGGAGTTGGTGTGCAAGTGTCTGATTCAGCAGCTGTATCCAAGAGCAGATTCCTGCTGGGCTCCTTCAAAACTGGGGCCATCAGGTGGTGGTTTTGGTTTTTTTTTTTTCCTGGGGTGGGGAGGAACAAACCTTCGAGTTACAGACCTTGCAGTTACAGATTGGTAACTGTAGGACAGCTTGGAAGAAGCACAAAGTGTAACCTGTAGCACAGCCATGTGGTAGAACCAGGTACCTCCAAACTCACCTGCTCCAGGTGTTTGTTGCACAGTAGTGACAAGCATTATAAAGCCACCTTGAAAAATTAAAAATTACACAGGAACTACCCTGGAAACAAACGTATGTGTTTAAATTCCTTGGTTCCCGCTGTGGCCAAAGGCACAGACATCCAAAAAAAAAAAAACCCTCGGCTATTTATCCAGCTCTAGGGCTTTAATTATGAAGCTGGAGGAGCTTTTTAGATTATTCAACACAAATAGACATCTGCCAAAGAAGATCTAGAGCAGTTTAAAGCAGGAATTAAAGCAAAGCTTCCTTCCTTCAGACTTCCATGGGGGTTGTTAGTGTTTTAAAGAGGTTTAAGCTTTGGCTTAATTGTAAGTGAAAATCCTGAGCATTTGTAAACACAATCAAGGGAACAGCAAAGCATGACAATATTAATGGAATCCAAGGGTATAATCCTGCACACAAAGAACTGTTCTCTCTTACAGATACTTTTTTTTTCAGCTGGTCTACAACTACAGGACAAGGTGCTTTGTCCTAGAAACAAAACCGTAAGTTTTCTTCTGCCTTTCCCTGTTAAATATCTCCAGTAAATTTGGGGAGGTGGGGGGGGAAAGGACTGTAAAGCACAGGACAAGAAGAGGAAATTTAATGTATGAAATGAAAAAAAAAAAAAAAAAAAAAAAAAAAAAAAAAAAAAAAAAAAAAAAAAAAAAA